ATAGCCCATGGGCCGCGCCGCCTAAAAATAAGGCAGAGGGAGCGCGGGAGGCGCGGGCCGGGGTCGCGAGCGGCGCCCCGCCCCCACCCGCAGCGAGCCCTCCGCGCGCAGCCCCGGGGCTTCCGAGCCGCGGCGCCCACAGGCGGTGCCGCCCGGCCCCGAGGGACCGTCCGGTGCGCCCCGTCCGCACCCCACGGCTCACCTGCACGCAGAGCGCCAGCAGCAGCAGCAGCCGCCGGGGCAGGCGCCCCCGGCCCCGCTCCCGCATCGCCGCCTCGACCCCGCGCGCCGCCGCCGCCACCCCTGCGCGTCCGGCCCAGCTCGGCCTCCCAGCGCCCGCGCGCCCTCCGAGCGGCAGCGGCGGCGGCGGCGGCGGCGGCGGCGGGCGGAGTCGAGGCGGCGCCGCGCGGGCCTGGGCGGCGGCGAGCGCGCAGGAGCGGCGGGCTCGGGCTCGCAGGCGGCTGCGCTCGACCCGGCCCGGCTCCCTCCCGGCGGCGGCGGCGGCGACGGCAGCGGGTCCCGGCCTCGGCTCTGAGCGCCCGCAGCCAACAAGTTCGGGACGAGACTGACAGCTCGCTCGCCCATTCGTCACCCGCGCACCTGCATATGCATGAGGGGGCGGGGCCGCGCCGCGGGGTGGGGCCGGGGGGCCGGGGGCGCCGGAGCTTTAAAGGCGGCGGAGGGCGCCTCCTGCCAGCGCCCGGTCCGGCGCGCGCCTCCCGGGAAGCCGAGGCCGCGGGGGTTCCGTCGCCGACGCTTCGGCGGCCGATCTCGCCGAGCGGGGACCCGCGCTGCCCGGCGCCCTCTGCCCGCCCGCGCCCCGCCGAGTGCCGGGCGCCCCCTGAGGTCGCCGCCCGGTCCCCTCCCATCATGCGCCGCCGCGCGCTCCTCCGAATCCCCGGGGAGAGGCCACCTCCTGCACAAACCAGGGCGAGGCCCCCACGCGCGGCGGGCGCGGCCTGGGGCCGGAGCCGGGCCCCACCGACTGCGCTCCCCCTTCGCAGGGAGGGTCCCCTCTCGGAGCCGCTCCCACCGCTCCGTGCCGGCCGCAGGGGGCGCTGCTCCCCGCCGACGCCCGGGCCCTCCCCGCCCCCGACTCGCGGGTGGGGCAGCCAGGCAACCAGCGCTCCCAGCCGGAGGCTGCGTGTGCCGCTCGCGCCGGCACACGGGTCGCCACCACACATTCGGGGAGGGTCGGGGCCGGGCCGAGCTTGGACCAGGCTAGGCCCCCCCCCCCCCCCCAGAGGCTCCTCCTGCCGTCCCGGTCGCCAGCCCTCGCCCCACCTGCTGCCACACCTCCAGGGAGCCATCCCCAAGAGCTCCTGGTCTCCAGGCACCGCCTCCCCTCCACCCAGCAGGGCCCCCCAGGACTGGCGATCGCCCGGCTGCCGGGGGTCACGACATGTTCCACAGGGGTCTTCCGGCCCGACTCCCACAGTAACGGACCCTCCAGCAGATCTGCCCCGGACCTGGGCTGGGTGCCGGGGGTGCGGCCGCTGCCGGGAGCTAGCCATTGGCACAGTGAGGGGCCTGGAAGGCCCTGGAGGAAGAGGGCTCTGCAGGAACTGGTTCAGGGCCGGGCTGGCAGGAGGAACTCGGGGGACACACACTAACCCAATGGCCCTGTGCCTCGGGGATGAATGCCGCCCTACCCGTCTCGCTGCCCACTGAGCAGCCCTGTCCAGAGCCCAGGCCTCAGGTGCATGTGGCCATCCCTAACCTGAGCCCCTCTGCCAGCTGGAAGGGGCAGGACACAAGCCAGGCACCTCCACACACAAAGACCCCTCCTCACAAGAGCCTCCACACCGTGTTCAGGGCACCCCTTTCTCCCTGCAGGGGTGGGGGTTCCCTGTGGAGGTCCGACTCCGCTCTGGCCTGGAGGGGAGAGGAGACCCCACTTCCAGGGGTCCGAGGCTCCATCCTGCTCATGCCCACTGCCCCGCTACCCACCGAGGCCCTGGGCACCTCTGCCCGCACTGTCAAGCACTGAACAAGGCAGACAGTCCCTGCCCACCCTCAGGGTCTCCGGGCAGGGGTAGACTTAAGGCGGGCAACCCAGGGAGGAGCCCAAGACGACAGGGGGTCAGCCAGGTGAGCAGCCGGGATGGTCCGTGCAGTGGCCCTGGGGCCAGTGAGGGCCTGTGAGAGAATGGCCGAGGCAGAGGGGTGAGCGGCCTAGGGGAGGCTGGGGAGGGGGTGGGCGCCAGGCTGAGCGGACTTCGGTCTTCCTGCTAAGACCGACGGGAAGTCACAGAAAGCAGCTGAGCTGGGATCCCTGGCTGCGGGGGAGGGGTGGCAGGGTGAGGTCCGGCAGGGAGGCCATAGGTGGCCACTGTCACAGGGCAAGTGAGAGGGGAAGGTGGCCAGTGGCCAGGCGGGGCCTGGAGCTGGAGGGACTGAGGACCGGGGAATTCCAGCGTGTGCCTCCCTCACGCACCTGGGGCTGCTCAGGCCAGCTGGGGGAGGGAAGGCGGCCTCGGCTGCACCCCCATCCAGAAGCTCCTGTCTCTAAAAAAAAAAAAAAAAGAAAGAAAAACAAATTTTTTAAAGCCCGGCCAGCATGGCTCGGTGGTTGAGCATTGACCTGTGACCCAGGAGGTCACAATTCAATTCCCAGTCAGGGCACATGCCCGGGTTGTGGGGCTTGCAGGAGGCAGCTGATCAGTGATTCTCTCTCATCATTGCGCTCTCTCTCCCTTCCTCTCTGAAATCAATAAAAATATATTTTTAAAAACTGGAAGCTGCTGTCTCAGCCAGAGGCACCAGGGGTGACCGTACCCTGCATCTCAGGATCCAAGCTCAACCCGTCAGGAGACGCCGCCTCCCTCGGGGTCCGGGAGCCCCTGCCCGCCCTGCAAAGCGACGGAGACAGTGGCCTGGCCCAGGGCCTCCCTCCACACCCTTTGGGAGCCTGACCGAGGTCCCTGTGGCCAGGGCAGCTGGGGACGGCAGACCCTGGACACCTGCCTCCCTGCCCTGGGTCCCATCCTAGGGGCCCAGAAGCCCCTCCTGACTCCTAGGAGCCAAGGCCCAGACCTAATGGTGCTCAAGAGGTTCAAGTCAGGGAAGGTGGCCTCTCCCGGGGGCAAGGGGACACACCCCCACACTGGCGGTTGCTAGGAGACAGGAACCCTTCCTCTGTGGGGTCCCTGCAGGGATTGCTGCAGCCTTGGGCCAGAGGGCTGCAAATCTAGGGGTGGTCAGGGAGCCTGCCTCCACCCTTGCCGGGCCAGGCTGCCCTGCCTCTTCCAGGAAGGCCACCATGATTGTCCTGGGGTCCACTGAGCCACAGCACCCCTCAGATCCTAGTTCCACTGGCCCCCTAGCCTGGGGCTCCCGCTCTGAGCTCCAGCCCCAGGGGTTCTCCCGGGTGTGCCCTGGGCAAGTGCTCCGCTTGTGCTGGACACGGCACGGATAGTCTGGGGGCCACTCAGCCTGGCCAGGGGGCTTCCGGCCCGGCCGGGGTGCGGACTGCCCAGGATTTGGACAGAGCCTGCTGCGCTCAGGAGTGAGCTGTGCTTCCGCCCGCTTTGCGGTGCTAAATATAGCGCCAGGGAGGGGGTTTCCGGTTACAGCCCCCCCACACCCAGTGCCGGGAAATCGATGCCAGTTCCATTAGGCTCCATGGTGAGCGGCTGACCGGCCCCAGGCTGCAGCGAGGGGCGGGGCTGCACTCCAGTCCAGGGGCCCTGCCCTCTACCCCACCCTGCAGTCGGGGGCTCAGCACATGCCCCAGGGCCCTGAGAGCCCAGGCCCTGCCGGACGCCCCTCCCAGACAGTGCGGCAGGCGGCCCAGAGCCTCGGGTGGGCATCAGGCAGGCGGGGCGGGGCACAGCTCCTGCCCTGGGACAGTTCTTAGATGAGCGAGGCCTGGGGCAGCCCACTGGGGTCGCCTCTGGACAGAGTGGAGCTGCAGCGCCCTGGACCCCACAGTTGCCCAGCCCTGCTGGCCCCTTGGACACACCACACACCCTCAGGCCCCTCCCTAGCAGCTTGGCACTCACCTGGCTGGGCTCCCAGGAGGCCCCACCTGGGTCATGGCCGGTATTTGCATATAGGTGTGCTGCTGGGGTGGGTCGATTAGGCCTCAAATGCAGGCCTGGGCTGTGCTGCTCTGCTAGGCTCCGTGACATGCACCCCCACACCGCCTGCCTGGAGTCGGCCTGGGAGGGGCAGGGCAAGCACACAAGGGCAGGTGGGCCCAGCAGGAGCCCGAGGCAGCATGTCCCGCCCCCACATCATCCAGCTGCAGCCCAGGGCCCAGCCCGCGAACACTGGGGCCTATGGCAACGCTCCTGGCCACCCAGGTCCCCAGACCCGCCCTCCTGTGGGGACAGCACCCCTGGATTCCTTGCCTTTCCCAGGTCAGGGGCTCATGACGCCGGCTGTCCCGACCTGTCCCCAGGGCAACACCCCAGGGGCTGACCAGAGGGTGTGGGGCTCTAGGGAAGGGCCAGACCAGGTCACCACCCTCAGGTGGGGCCCCATCCCCGGCTGATGCCTGTGACCATGGTGACCAGCACACATGCCCACAGCGGGCTCCTGGGTGCTGGTAAGTGGGCAGCGAGCCCACCTGTGACCCCCAGCGCTCGAGGCCACACACACAGGCTGTAGGTGGAGGGAGATGGCGCCACACTCCTGTGGCCCAGGGGACATGGGCTCTGGGGGTGCCAGCCCAGGCCATGGGGCGAGGGACCTCACTTCTCCAGGAACAGGGAGTGTGTGCCCCCTGGAATGCACAACCCACAGTTCTGCCCCCCTCCTGACTGAGGCCGGCTCAGCCACCACCCCGGAGGTCCCAGCTCACTCCCTGGCCTGGTGCCCAGGGGGCCCATCCCCAGGCCCACTGAGCTGCCCTCCCTGCGTGTGTACCCACCTCCCACCCCGGCCTGGCCTGCCCTTTGGCATGGCCACAGCCCAGGCTTCTGCTGTGGAGTTGAGGGCCCTCTGGAGAGCCCCCCGTCTCCGGGCCTCCCCAGTCACAGCTCGGAGCCAGTGGACACAGCTAGAGCCACAGGAGCCTTTATTGGGCTGCAGGGTGGGGGCCAGGACCGGCCTGGCTCCAGACCCCCTCGGGGGTCACAGGAGACCCAGGCCGGGGCCCACACAATGGAGGAACCAGGAGATCCCAAAGATGACGCCGAGGGTCTTGGGGACATCCGGGTTGTCCGAGAAGGCCTGGGCGCCCCCCAGGGGCAGGTGCACGACCTCAATGAGCTCGCCCTCCTCGGCCAGGCCCCCGCCCGGGCCACCCCTCTGGGCGTCTGTCACCTCCGCATAGAACATGGTCTGGCTGGAGCCGGTCAGTCCCACGCCAGCCCTGTGGGTCGAGACAGCGCAGGCTGAGCCACAGAGCAGCCCCGGCCCTCTCCGCTCGGCACCCGCCCGGCCCTGGTGGAAGGAAGACAGAGCAAGCCACCAAGCTGTGAGGGCCACGCGGCCAGGACCTGCGCCACCGAGGAGCCGGCCGTGGTTCAGGCCAACAGGGCCTGGGTCACACGCCGCAGCCGTGAGCTGGGAAGGGGGTCTGAGCCCCGGGGTAGACAGGAGACCAGCCACCCGACCACAGCGGCCGAGGCTCTGAGGGGGCGCAGACGTGAGATGAGGGGGCTGCAGCTACTCACTGTCGGGGGTACCGCCCTCCCTGCCTGTTCACACCGGGCCCTCAGCCAGGGCCTCCTTCCCGGTGGACGTAACCCCCAGCCCCCCGCCCAGGCTGCTGACGCCTCCCCCCAAGGATGCCGGTTGGCTGCCAGCAGGGCCACACCAGCTGCCCGTGGGGCGTGGGCTGGGGGGCTTCCCACTGTCACCTGCAGGACACCACGCTGGGGGCAGCAGGTGCAGAGGCAGCCCAATCCCACGCCCAAGGGCCCTCGACCTGAGAGCATGAGGGTTCCATTCGCAATGGGTGGCGGCCAGAAGGGGGTACGGTCCCCAGGAGGGAGACCAGCGCCGAGGGCAGTGGCCTGACCGGCTGGTGGGGAGCAGGAGTGGGCAGCGTAGGGACTGCTGGCTGCGAGGACAGGGCGGTGCACGGGCCAGTCTGGATCGCAAGCCCATAATGGCGTGCAGGGGGAGAAGGGAACCAAGGGGGTATGTCTGGGGAGTCAGGGGGACCCAGGGCGGCGGCGGCTGCCCTGGGAGACGCCCGGCACACGGGGAGGGAGCGGGACTGCGGCCTTCACGCCCCACCTCCAGGAGGGCCCCTCACTGACCTCGCCCAGCTGCTTCCTCTGCCCTCCATCCCCTTATCTCCCTCAGACCCTTCCTGACGGCCCGTTTCCGCCGGCGGCTCGGGCTGCCTTTGATGGAAGCCCGTCTGTGGGGTTTCCAGTCTGCTTCCTCTGGCGCTGAAGAGACGGCGTGGCCTCTGAACATGCCCAGCCAGGCCGGGCACCGCCTCCGCCCTCCCTCACTCATTCCGCAGTCCCTGACCTCAGGCGAAGGCCTGGGACTTGTCACCTGGGACTGCAGGCAAGTGGCCCAGCTCCACACCGGGCCCTGCTGTCTGTTTTGCCCCGGGAGGCCCACAGGGACAACGGCCTGATCTGCACTCCAGCCCCACCGCAATCCTGCTCCCCACAGCCCCCCTCGGCTCCAAAATGCAAGTCTGAGCGGGCTGCTCACTGTCCACAACCTTCCATGGCTCCCCAGCACCCTGGGGGTCGGGCATAGCCCAGAGGCCCCGCATGTGAAGCCCTTCTGCCAGGACCCCCACCTGCCTTCCTCCTTGCCCACCCCCCAAACCGGCCCCTCACACCCAGACATCCAGCCCTCGGCATGGAAAGCCTCAATCCACTGAACATGGAGGACCCTGTGGCTCACCTCCTACCCCAAGGAGGCCTGGGGGCCGCTGAAGCTGGGTCGGGGGGCCCAGCCCACCACTGTGTGCCCCGGCGCTGGGCTGGGAGACAGGGCCCTAGGGGTGCAGGCCCTGCCTCCGGAGAAGGCGCCCAGCTCAGTGGGTGCAGAGCACTGAGGCCCTCCTGCCCGACTCCCCTGAGGTCTGGACCGTCGCAGTGGGCCCCGGGCAGGGGTGGGCATCCCCCCAACATCCTGTCCTGCAAAGATGGCCCCAGCGGTGGGCCTCATGGGATGTGGGCGATGGGGGGGCATCTGGACGTTGGCGGGGCTGGCCCTGAAGTCCAGCGTCCAGGCCACACCTCGTCCCCCTGCCCAGGACACAGCCTTTCCCTCATCCCTGAGCCCCTGTTAGAGCAGATCTGTGACTCACCCCCACCCCCAGGGCCCCATTCTTAATCCCACAGGAAGTGGAGGCATCTGTCCGCAGCAGCTGCCACAGCCCGCCCCACAGGGCTGGGGGCCGCAGGGCAGGCGCATGGGCCCAGCCTGCCCCAGAACCAGCTCCCAGACCCCAGGTTCTGGCCTGGATCACGACCTGGGTGGGTTCCCTCCAACCTTCCCCAGCCTCACGGTGAAAACAAGGGGGAGGCGCTGCCCTACTTGCATACCCCTGCGGACGGGGCGCTCACTGCCCAAGGCAGCCAGCGCCCTCCCCGGGGCAGGACTGCAGCCGGCGCCCCTCGCTGGCCCTGCGGGTCCGGCCCGGCCCACTCACTTGTAGGTGGCGACGCGGCGCAGGTCGGCCGGGGCCAGGCGGTAGCCACACTCCTCCCAGGCCTCCTTGCATGCCACCTCCTCCAGCGACAGCCCCGGCTGGTCCACGATGCCGGCGCACAGCTCGTACATCACGCCCGCCGAGCCCGGCAGTGCCTCCGGCAGCACCTGCGGCCTGTCGGCGTCCACAGCCGCCAGGGACCCTGGGAAGCGGCGCTCCACCTCGCTCATGTACACGGCTGATGGGGGGGAGGGTAGACCATGGTCACGGCCACAGGGCGGCTGCCTCACCAGGCCTCAGTTTCCCCTGGACCCCTCCCCACATCTGCGTTCTAACCCTCGGAGCACAGGGGCCCCGCTCCCCGCCCCGGGGCCTCACCCCACCTCACGGGCAGCCCTCACCCGGCCGAAACTGCTTCACCAGCACCAGGCTCCTCCGGGAAGAGTTGAACAGGAGAATGGTCACACTGCGGGTGGGGGGGTGGCGGGGATCGAGCTCAGCACAGAAGCACCCCTCATCTCACCTCCCTGGGGGCCCTGTTCCCAGCATTCCCAGCCGCCCTCCTCTCCCCGGCAGCCTGGGAAAATGGGGCCCTTGCTCAGATGGGTAGAGCAGGGCCAGAGCTGCTGGGTCAAAGTCAGGCTAGGAGCTCTGGCAGGAGGGGCAGTGGGGTGGAAAAGGCATGTTTGGAAGTTGGGGGCCAGGTGACTGACAGGACATGTGGTCCGTGCTGGCCGGCTGCCTGCTGACCACACTCCTGTGGCCAGGTCACTGTCGAGCCCACACCCCAGGGGTCAGGGGCCAGCCACCCAGACAGCTTCTCCCCGTTCCCCTGGGGTGACCCGCAGAGCAGGGGGAGTAGGGATGTGCGTGGGGGACACACAGATGCAGAGGCAGGGTGCCCCCGGGCGTCAGAGGAGCCTGGGCTGGGCCCTCACCTGTCATGCGTCTTCATGAAGTCCCACGACTTCTGGGTGCCATTCTGAAAGAGGCAGGGTGGCGGTCAGGGTGCCCCCCCAACCCTGGGCACCCTGCCCCAAGGGCTGCCAGGACCCTGGGAAGCACCCTGAAGCAGGAGGCAGTGTGGGCAGGGTCTGGGCTGAGCCTGCTGGGAGCAGGCAGAACAGACACTATGGGGTTCTAGCAGGCGGAGGGAAGAAGGCATCCAGAATCCTGCCAGCTGGACACCAGCAGGTGAAATGGACATTCACCTGGCCCAGCACCTCCCCATGGCATCCCTGTGGATGAGGCTGGAGCTGGGCACTCGGGGCCCTGCCCTGTGACTGCCCATCACCAGCCCCCCAGTCACTGGGTCAGCCCAGAGGCCCCAGTGAACTGCTGGCCCCACCCCGGGATCTGTCCAGCCACGACATGGACATGGTCCTGACACGAGAAACACAGTGAGTGCCCGTCCTGGGGCAGGGCGCCAAGGGACAGTGTCACGAGAATTTCCTGGAGGAGGTGACGCCACACAGATGAGGAAAGGGCATTCCAAGCAAGGGGTCCTCACAGGCAGAGGGGTCCCCACAGGCAGAGGGGGGCTCACAGGCAGAGGGGGGCTCACAGGCAGAGGGGTCCTCACAGGCAGAGGGGGGCTCACAGGCAGAGGGGGGCTCACAGGCAGAGGGGGGCTCACAGGCAGAGGGGTCCCCACAGGCAGAGGGGGGCTCACAGGCAGAGGGGTCCTCACAGGCAGAGGGGGGCTCACAGGCAGGGCCACAGGTGGTCCCAGCAGCGTCAGGCCTGGGTCTGAGCTGGCGGGAGGCAGAGGTGCCCTGGAAGGGTGGTGGCAGCCTCGGTTCCCAAAGGGCAGGGAGGCCCGGGGCCCTGTGTGCGGCCGGCTGCCCGGGAGGCCGTCCTCGGGCACTGCCCCCAGGAGCAAGCCCGGGCCTGCCTGCCACCCGCCACCGGAGCCAGCCAGCCACCCACGCCGGCTCCAGGGAGGGCCTGCCCTGTGCCTGTGCCCGCTGTGCCCACTGCCCCCGCCGTGCATGTCCCGGGCAGGTCTGAGACCCTCAGCTCAGGATCAAAACGTCTGCCAGACCTTCAGGTCCAGCCGGGAGGGGGGGGGGAGGGTGCAGGGGAGGGTCTGAGGCTGCCCCAACCTGGCTCCTCCTCTGAGGCCCAGACACAATCCTCTCCCCGTCGGACCCCAGGGGTGCCCCGTCTCTGGTCCGTCTGTCTGTCCACAGCACTCCCTGGCCAGGGTAGCTAACGACCAAAGGCTACAGGAGCTCTGGGTGGCATGCGCTGCCCGCCCGATGGCCCTGGCCCCCAGCCTGTGCCCAGCTCAGCGGTGCCTCAGGTCAGTCTGGTCGCCAGCACCCACCAGGGGGATGTCGCAGCAGGCGCCCACAGAGCTGTCCCCCTTCACGGGAGGTGGGAGGGGCTGCAGCCACGGCCCAGCAGGCATGTGCCCGACACGCAGAGCCCCAGCCCCCAGCCCGGGGCGAGCAGCCATCAGGCCCCTCCCAGCAGACGTCAGAGGGGGCAGCGACCTCCACGTTCCCACACTGCCCCTCGACTGCCTTGCCCGCCTGCCCCAGGCTAGGGCTGCCAACGAGGGTGCATCCTGGGGCCCCAGGGAAAGTGGGGTGCAGGGGCCTCTCTCAGGCTGGGCTCCAGGGAGTTTGGTGGGGGGTTCCGGGGTCACTGTGCTGAGAGGGCGGGGGGCAGGGCTGTCTCCATCTGAAGGGCCTGCAGCGGGCAGCCCACCGGGGCAGGTGGAGCTGCAAGGAAAGGGTGGGGGCCCGAGTGGACAGAGCAGGTCCTGAGAGAGGCCGGAGGCGGCCACCCGCTGGACAAGGAGAGGGGGCAGCAACCCGCGCTCCCGACAGGTGTTTCCTGGTGACCTGTTTCCACGTGCGCAGGAGGCGGCGTGGGCCCCACGGGTGAGACTCGGGGCGTGCGCGGGAGGAAGCCCACGAGGCTCGCCACCCGCCCGCCTCCGCTCCCTCCTCCCGGGGAACCACCGCCTCCGGGAAGCGCTCCGTGACCTCGGAGGAGCCCGCAGTCCCGCCGCAAAGGGGGCCGGAGGTGCCCTGCGGGGCCCGCCCTGGCCGGGCACGCACGCGGCCCGGGAACCGGAGCCAACCGCGAGGCCGGGGGGCGGGGCTCCGCGCGGTGGGCGGGGCGGGCGCGGGGAGTGGGCGGGGCTCCGCGCCGCGGAAGGGACGGGCGGAAGCGGCGGCGGGCGGCTCACCTGGCGGTAGTGCAGCGTGAACGGCTGCAGGTAGGGCGAGGCTGCGCACCGGGCCACGGCCGCCCCCTCGATACGCTCCATGGCCGCGGGGACCGGGGCGCGGCGGCCGCAGCGGGTGCGCGCGGGGCAGGAGCGGGCGGACCGGCGGGCGCGTGACGCCGCTCTGGGCATGCGCAGTTGGCGCGGGGCGGGGCGCGCGGGGCGGGGTGCGCTCGGCCAGTGGCGCGCGGAGGGTGCGGGCGGGGCGGGCCGGAGAGGACGCGCCCGAGGAGCGATCGCGGGCGCTCGGGGCCCGGGACGGGGCGGGGAGCGGCGCCGCGCGCGGTTCTGCCGGGAGGAGCCGAGCGGTGCCTCCCCCGAGGGCCGGCCGCCGTCCCGTGATGGGTCGTCCGGGGGCCGGGGGTGGTGGAGGGGGCAGCCCCGGGAGGCACCGACGGGCCCTGAAGGGGGCAGTGGCGGACCTGTGGGAGGGAGAGCGCGGGGGTCGCCGCGGGGCGGCGCGTGGACACCTCCTGGGAACCTCGTGGCCGGGAGGCGAGAAGGCCGTGCCCGGCCGGCGTGGCTCCGGGGTTGGAGCCGGAGGTCACGTTGGATTGCGGGTCGGGCACGCGCCTGGGGTGCCCACCAGACCCCCCAGTGGGGGGCGTGCAGGAGGCAGCCGGCCCATGATTCTCACCGTCGAAGTCTCTCTCCCTCCCTTCCTCTCCGAACCAATAAGAAACATTGAAAAGCGCAGGCTCGGGGAGGAGGGAAGGGAGAGCTCGGCCTCCCCTCCGGGTCCCTGGCCTGGGCCGCGGGCCACCTGCCCTGGTGGCAGGTGCTGCAGCAGCCCCGGCCTCTGGGCTTGTCCCTCCTCCCAGCGGCCATCCCCGCCCCCAGAAGCCCTCTGGGCTGCAGGGCCCCCCCTTCCGCACGTGGATCCCAAGGACCCCCTCCAAGTGTGGCCTCGCCCCCCCAGGCGCTGCTGCGAGGGGTGCGGTGGGGACCTATGGCCCCAGGAGGGACGCCCAGGTGGGGCTGGCCATGGGGCCTTGAAAGCTGTCCCCATGTTACTATTGCTGCGTGAAAAGCACCCAGAATCCCGCGGCTCGGAGCGCCATTGACGGCCGGTCCGGAGTGGGGCCCTGGCCCGGCCGCAGCTCTCGCCTTCCTCTGCGGGGGGAGGGGGGGCGCAGGGCAGCTGGGGATGGAGTATTCCGCAGGCTCCGTGGGATGCACGGCAGCTTGGCCTCTTCGCCCGGGTCGGGGGCCTCCGCTTCGTGGCTGGCAGCCGGCTGGCTGGGCGTGTCGCTGTGTGGCCTCTCCCGTGTGGCTGGCGTGGGCTGCCCCACAGCATGGCGGTCTCAGCACACGGCCTTGGGCCAGCCCGTGGCCCGGCCTGGGAAGGCAAGCAGTGTCCTGCCCCCCTGTGTCCTGTGAGTCGCAGAAAGCCCTGGCCACCCAGGGTCCGGGGGAGGGGACTTCACAAGGGGGGGCACTGGGAGGCGTGGTGCTGGGGGTTGTCAGACTCCCTGCTCCCAGCCTCGCCCTGGTGTCCTGGGGGCTGGAGAGAGAGAGCCCGCCCACCTCTCTTGTGTGTGTAGATATATGTAGGTGTGTCTATATACACTAGAGGCCTGGTACACGGATTCGTGCACCCGTGGGGTCCCTCGGCCTGGCCTGGGAGGATTGGGCCAAAACCGGCTCTCGGACATCCCCCGAGGGTACCGGATTGCGAGACCCCTCCTGCAGGCCCAGCTCCGGGACCTGGACACCCACCGGCTTCCTCCTCCCTCCTCCCTGGGCCTGGAGTGCGGGTGAAGCAGATCGGGGCGACCGTGCCCCAGCAGCAACCTAACCCACAGCCGATTCCACGAGGAATTGCGCTCCCTCCTCTGCTGGTCGAGCGTCTGCCCCCTGGTGGCCATTGCACGTCATGGCTACCAGGCGAGCGGTCGAACAGTTGGTTGGTCACTTGGGCTTTTATACATACCGATATTTTATTGGTTTCAGAGAGGAAGCGAGCGAGAGAGAAACATCAATGAGAGAGAAGCATGGACCGGCTGCCTCCTGCACACCCCTACTGGGGATGGAGCCCGCAACCCAGGCATGTGCCCCGACCAGGAACGGAACCGTGACCTCCTGGTTCACAGGTCGGCGCTCGCCCACGGAGCCACGGTGGCCGGGCCCCAGGAAGCCGCTCCAGGGAGCCTTGCTTTCGTCACGTGCGGGGAAGTAGCGTTGTCATAGTAACACAAGCCGAGGGCTGGCAGTGTGGGTTGCGGGATTTACGTGCCTGCGACCTGCCAGCAAGGTGCCCCCCGCCCCCCGCGGGAAGCAGGCCCTCAGATGCCCCACGGAACCCCACCGATTGGGAGACGGACTCAGAACCGAGGCTGCACCCGCAGCCCTTTCACGGCAGCCGAAACCGCGTGTCCGTCGGCAGGTGATGGCACACTGCCAGTCACACACGGGACGTGCGGCACCTGCGAGGAGTGACACCGCACTCGCCACAACATGGGTGAACGCCGTGGCTGCCGGGAAGCGGCGGACACGCATGTGAATTGCAGGACGGGCAGACCGCGCCGGTCAGAGGTGCCAGGGGCGGGGTGGGAGGAGGGCAGGGGCTGCTCGGTGAGGGCAGGGCTTCCTTTCGGGTGAGAGAATGTTCTGGAACTACGTCGTGGTGGTTACACACCGTTACGCGTGTGCTAAATGCCACTGCACACGGTAAAGGGTTCGTGTTCTGTGGACGTCAGTTCAATTTTTTAAAAAATGAAAATGGCCCCGTGAGGCTGTTCAGGAGCCTCCTTGCTGCCCGTGGCCGCCCACGGCGTCCCCACCCGTCAGCGCCGGGCCAGGCCGGGCCGTGCGGACCTCGGGGTGGGGGTGGGTGAGTTTCTCCAGCGAGACGTGAGTCCGACCATTTTTCTGGAGTGTCCAGTGCATCCGGGCGGCTTGGAACTGGGGCCGGGGGCCGAGGGGCCACGGGGCCTCGAAAAGCCACCCCTGACCTGGCACCGTGGGGGCTGTGGAGGCCGCCGGGCGGAGGCCTGATGAGGAGGCCACACGCCCGCCCCCCAGCACCCCTCCCCCCCCCGCAGGGCCTGTACTTGGTCACGTCGACACCGAAGGTTCCGGAGATCAGGGTGTAAACCCAGGAGCAGCTGACGGATTCATGTCAGAGGGTCCAGGCGAGTGGGGGCCTCGGGCGGGTCAGGGACACAGGGGTGCTGGGAGGACACCCCACAGGAGGGGGCAGGTGCTGGCAGGGAACCCAGGAGGCTCCCGCCGGCTGCCACCACCCTTTTCTGTGTAAGGGGTGAGGACGCAGTGGGAGGGGAGGGTGGCAGCAGCCTGGCCAGGTGGCCAGGTGGCCATTGGCCGCCTCCAGCGCTCGGCCATTCCCCCGACGGGGCGACAGGCGGTCCACAGGTGAGGTTGCAGGTCAGGGAGTTTCTGACGTGACAGGCGGGGAAACGGAGGCCACCGAGCCGGCCGCTGCACCCAGCATCGGGGCCCGTCAGTGCCTCTGCCTGGCCGCACGGACGGCGTGTCCACTGACCCTGCTCCACGCTCCGGTCTCACTGAGGACCCCAGACCAGCAGGGGCCAGGGGGCAGCTCTCAGGCTTCCTCTCCGGCCCCAGCGCCCTGTGCCAGTTCCTGCTCCGACTCACGTGGCCGTGGCGGCTGAGTGGCCCCATGTCTGCCCTCGGGGAGCTGGGACGTCAGGCAGAGAACAGGCTAGCCTCATCTAGAATGTCCTCAGGCACCCCCAGAATTGTGCCCCCCCCAGATATCAGGGCACCTGGGCCTCGCCCATCCTGGCTGACGTAAAATCATCCACCACAGAAGGAAAGGAGAAAAAAGTGGTTAAAACCACGCAAAAGGAAGTGTGAGTAGAACGCGCTTCGAGAGAATTACGGATCGGCTGCCTCCTGCCCCCCCACACAGGATGGAGCCCGAAACCCAGGCGTGCGCCCCAGCCAGGAATGGAACCGTGACCTCCTGGTTCATAGGCCGACGCTCACCCACTGAGCCACACCAGCCAGGCCAGAACGCACTTCTTAACCTGCTGCAAAGTGCGTGCTCACAGAAAGCGCCCGCTGGCGTGGCTGAGGTCCTGGGTGCACACCCTGGGAGGGGCGAGGACGTGTGCGTGTGTGTGCCCAGGTGGGTGTGTGCACGCGTGTACATGTGCGCTGTTCTGCTGCTGTGGCGATGCCGTCCGACGCCCCTCGGGTCCCGCCGAGCCGCTGCCAGGGTGGAGGAGCCCCGGGTTCTCAGCCGCTTAAATGTGAGACGTGTTCTCCGTGCGGAGGAGCCTGGGGCGTGTCTCTATGACACACAGCACGGCGTAAAGCATAACGGCCCGGCCGCGGGGCTCGGGCTGAGCCTCGGCCTGTGAGCCAGGAGGTCAGGGTTCGGTTCCCGGTCAGGGCACGGGCCTGGGCTGTGGGCTCCATCCCCAGGGAGGTGTGAGGAGGCAGCCGATCCATGATTCTCTCTCATGATTGATGTGTCTCTCCCCTCTCCCTCCCTCCCTGACAGCAGTCACACACACGCACACGCACACAAATATTCTGTGAGATCAGTAAAGCAGATGCTCGGGAGCCAGGTCATGACGCAGCACATTTCTGGGGCCCTGGGGGGACGCAGGGAGCGGGGGGGACAGGGCTGCTCCCCCCGAGGGCGCTCCCTCCAGGCGCCGAGAACCATCGCCTGGACCCTCTGACCTTTTTCACACTCGGGGTACCCCAGCGACATCCCCTTTAGTTTTGACAAACTGCTCAGCTGAGCTCCAGGAGAAGGGGGGCTGAGAGATCCCAGGGCCGAGGGCCGGCCTCAGCCTCCCTCGGGGTTCCCAGGGGCCGTTCTGTGGCCGTCGTGGGGAGGGACATTCAAGCCCCCCCGTCCGGGCACCTGGCAGCGTTCTGCGTTTCTGCTTCTAACCACCGGTCAGGAGCCGGTCACAGCAGACACGCCCGGGGAAGCCGCCTCTCGGCTGCCCCGGAGGTGCCATCACTGTGCCACACGGTCTAATCGGGATGCTGGCCCCCAGAGGCAGAGCTGCCTTGCAGCCGCCTCCCCTCCCCTGGCCCCTGCGTCTAACGTCGCACGCTGGAGGCCGTGTGCCTGGGAGGTACCCTGTA